TGGATCATCCGTGTAACAAATCAAAATAAACTGTGAAGTAAACTATAAACAAATGTTGCTTTATGCCTTACTAGCTGTACTACCCGGCTTCGCCCGGGACTTGTATCCACCACGGCCGGCCGCCTTTGTCTCCCCAGTGGCGATGTCAATACGCTACAGCGGTTACTCGTTTGAGGCAGAGTCGACCTAGGAGAGGTTCAAATAATCGTCACCGGTGGTGGTCGTGAGCGGGAATGGAACTGGGTTCGCCGGGTTGGTAGCGCAGCGTAGCGTTAAGCACTACACCCACCGCTCCTCACACACCACACACGCACAGACACACACACAGACACACACACAGACACACGCAGACACACACAGACAGACACACACACAGACAGCACGCTAACCACTACACTACCGCTCCCCACACACCACACACGCACACACACAGACACACACACAGACACACACACAGACACACACACACAGACACACACACACAGGCAGCACGCTAAGCACTACACTACCGTTCCCCCTACACAACACACGCGCGTCCATAGGTACACATACACGCGCTTGCTGCAGACACACACGACTTTCAGGGTGCGTACGGCAGTAAACGACTGAAATAATAAAGCGGCAATGCTGCGCAAGGAACGCCTTAGACCTGCAACACATTTGTGTAATGCGAGCGTAAACACACAAATACATACAAACACATACACAATACACACACACATACATGCAGACACACAGACAGACACATAACACACATACATACATACACACACATACATACACAGAAACACATACACACACATACATAGACACACACATACATACACACAAGCACATGCACACACGTCCATACACACATACATACAGACACGCAGACATACACATAAAGACATAGAAAAAAACCCACATACATACACACACACATACATACACACAAACACATACACACACATACATACACACATACATATACACACACATACATACACACAGACATACACATAAACACATACACACATACACATGACCCGGCTTCGCCCGGGACTTGGATCCACGATGCCCGGCCGCCTTTGTCTCCCCAGTGACGATGTTCACACACGACAGCAGTTACGCGTTTGAGGCTGAGTGGACCTAGGGGAGGGCCAGGTCCGTTTCAAATAATCGTCAGCGGTGGTGGGCGTGAGATGGAATCGAACTGGGGTCGCTCAACCAGCTTAATGACTATTTGTACAAAGAACATATAAAGAATCGATTATAATAAGCAGGCTACAGTCCACATTATAGACTGCCAGTACACGCAGTCAGCATCATAAGCAGGCTAGAGTGTAGATGATAGAGTGGCAGTACGCTCACCGAGCTTAATAAGCAGGCTACAGTCTACATGATAGACTGGCAGTACGCTGACCCAGCTTAATGACTATTTGTACAGTGAACATTTAAGTAATCGATTGTTGGCGCGTTGGGTTTAAAAGTAATATTAATTGCACACATTGTGTTGGGGGTGGAGTGAAGAGTAGGAAAAACTTTGATGAATTTACCTCAGAGTGGCGTGGTGGGTGTCGAGGCCTAGTAGCGTGCAGAGCCTGCGGCCTCGCCAAAATTGTCCACCCGGCAGAGGCAAAGTACGGGTGGCGTGCCTTCCCCCCCCCCTCAGCGCTCCAACAATACTGTGTAATGGCTATTATTTAATTATTTACGGAGCCTATTAAAGTGGCGAAGGCGTGGCTAGCCGTTGGCAGGGGCAACCGCCGTCCAATGAAACTGCAGCCCTTGGCGAAGGCGTCGCTAGCCGTTGGCAGGTCCAATGAAAGCGGAGAAGGCGTCGCTAGCCGTTGCCAGGGGCAACCGCCGTCCAATGAAAGTGCGTATGGTCCGAAATCCACACACACACACACAGACGGACAGACAGACATGCACGATTTTATATATATAGATTGCTACAACACAAGTCTTTAGCCCACCCCTTCCCTCTCCTTCCCCAAAAACACCACGTTCCTGATCATTGCCCCTACGTGAGTAGGGGGGGCATAGTGGTCTCAACCACCTTCCCTTTCCCCTTACCCGTGGGCACCTGGCCTCGGGCTTGCCATCTGCGGAATAACTGTACACCTATCCCCTACCACTCGTGCCTTGTAAGAAGAGGCTCTTGTTCAACAAAAATAAAAAAAGAAAGAATGTCTCTACCCGTGGACCGTGGAATTGCTTTGTGTGTATGCAAAACGTCTTTCGCACGATTAAGTAGCCAACCGCGCTAATCGGACGGTGTTTTTTAGAACACCGCCAATTAGTCAACCACGGGCCACAGGGTCGATCCGTACGCGTCGACAAACCGACGGTGGATGTGGTCCAGGGTGATGTCGTGCTCGCTTTATTCATTTGCCGCGAACGCGAGCGAGTGTAAATAAATTACGTTAACGCAGCGACGGAATCACTTTCAAGGGCGATGCAGGCACCGGCATTCGCGGGGAGTTTTTATTAGATTTTTTAAAAGCGATTACGCACATAGATGGGGATACTTTCTCGTTTGTGATCTCTCTCCACTGCATCATGGAGTCCCCCTTTCCGTGGCTGCCACTGCCCAGAAATATTTCCTGTTTTTGAGACGGCAGCAGCAACGTTTTTGTGGCGGCAGCAGCAACGTTTTTGTGGCTGCGAAGCTCGTACATACATTACTGGCCTTTGATCAAATTGCCCAAACTGTGCCTTATCTCATCCGATTTCAGTATCCAAGCAGTGTTGGTGGTCCGGTCACGTAGGTTCTCACGGTTGTGCCCTACAGGATCTCCCGATGCATTTTCTTTGGATTAGCGCAGTTGGCTACCTACGGTGCGATAGAAGTTCGACGTACAGTACATGCCGCACGTTGTTCGGCGCGGTGTCCAACTTTTCGTTCCACATGCCGGGAGCTTCTTCAGAAACTGAAAGCTTGAGTTGAGTATGTACATGTTTTTTGTTTGCATGTTCACCACAAGTACGTGTGGTTAATGCAGACAGGATTCCTTGAAAAAGGATTCTGTTTGGTGTTTTAACATCTTAACACAGCTGTTTTATTGCCAAAAAGGGTAAAACCAATTTTTATATTTTGATACTGGCATGAAAGGTCACATATTGTGTAGAACATCCTTCGCACCGTATGTTGCCGACCGTGCTAATCGGAGGTCCGGGGGAAGGACAACAAACTAAACACAAAAAAGCACTTCTAAGAGAAGTGAGTGTGGTCAGTGCTCAAAGATGAGAATGGATGGAAATACGAGACATTTCAGTCTCGGGCTGTGGCCATGAGATGGCAGTACAACAAATGTATTCTTGAATCCATCTGTGTCGACCTTCGACTGTTATATCCCCTCCTACACGCCAAACACTCGACGGTGGAAATGGCCAAAAGATTCCAATGGCAAAGCCCTCGTGAATTTTGCCTCAAGGCTCGAGGCTTCTCTAGGAAAAAAACAAAACAAATGGCATCATTATTATTAATTCAGTACTGCATTTTCTCACACCAATGTTTGCAACATAAAAAAACATTACAAAACATCCATGCCTGACGCATGCGATCTCGACTCACGTGATGGCTGCCCAAGTAGATGTTGGATAAGTTGTAGGTTTGGTCTAACCTTGCTCCGATCTAGCCAACTCTTACCCAATTCATTTCTCACATAATATTTCCCTGGTCGCTGGTAGACTAGCTGGCTCGTCGATTTTCCGGAGTCATTGTTTTGCTCAACCATCCTCACGTATTTTTATTTTATGGGGAGCGGGAGCGTAGTAACAGTTAGCGCGATGTGCAATGAACCCGGCGATCCGAGTTCAATTCCTGCTCACGGCCAACATCGGGTGACGAATATCTGAACCACTCCTGGGCCTCTCCTAGGTCGACTCGGCCTCAATTGAGTACCTGGTGTAGTGTGTAAACATCGCCAACAGGGAGACAAAGGTGCCCGAGCGTGGTGCTGGCCACCCACCCCTCGTGTGCCATGCCAGCCTTCCTCCGCACCTGCGATTAGTATAGTTGGCTATGTACAGTGCGAAAGAAGTTCGACATACATACGTACATACACACAAAAAATACGGTGATACAGGGCATGGCGGTGAACCCAGTGACCAAAGTTTGATTCCTGGCCATGACTGGCTTCAGTTGTGGGCGATATCTTAATCAGTCCCTTACCCATCCCAATCCCCCCCCCCCTTCACTAACTCACACTGATCAGCGCTGTGATATACGCTCAAAAAGTTCCCATCCAGCTGTGACATTGGGATGTAGGAATTGAACAGCACGCACAGTGAACTCCAACGTGCACTGCGTTTGCCCCCGGATACCACGCAACTCTGCGTTCAAAATCCTCGGATACAACCACTGCTCGATTGCCTGCTGTACACTCGCTGCCCTGCCCCCAAAGTCATTTAACCTTTCGCCTTGGTTTGAAACGGGCTCCGAACACAGAACGGTTGGAGCGGATGTGGCTGATTGCCCAATGGAGGCAAACAAAGCACTTATAATAATACATCTACGACGAATACTACGCCAGATTAGGACCAGGTTTTTTTTTCTTTTTTATTTGCTCGCACACGCACACACACGCAAAGACAAAGATCCCCCCCATAGCCCTAATACACTTTTGGCGCAAGTGCTGGTAGCGAGCAACCTATGAAAACCGGCACACGAGGGGGGCAGGTTGCGAGCACCACGCCCAGCCACCTTTGTCTCCCTAAAGGTGATGTTTACACACCAGACCAGGTACACATTTGAGGCCGGGTCGACCTCGAGGAGGCCCATGGCTTGTTCAGTTAATTGTCACCGGCGTTGGCCGTGAGCGGCAAACAAACTCGGGTCGCCGGGTTTTTAGGGCAGCGCGCTAACCGCTGCACTACCGCTCCACCGCACACACACACACAGACTTCGCCTCATGCTGCCGCGCATCCCCCCCCCCCCCCCCGCCGTAAGGCAGCAAGGGGCCGGGGCTCACGCGACGGCGTGGCGAGTGAGCGGAACTAATGGCCTTTACCTTCCACCAGCGAGGTGAGCAAGGTGACGTTGGCTGCTTTCCTGCGCCCCGCGGGGAGGTTTAACCCCAGCCGGTCGAGTTTCTCGCGCAGGCACCGGCCACCGTTCTTCGACTTGGCTCTGAGCGGTGGTGGTGGCGGTCACGATCGGAAGTATGGGAAACAACACAAGGCGTGCGCACTGGTGAGTTCCACTCAATCGATGAGTTCACGATGATGATGATGATCATCATCAGCAAAGATTCATTTCAGCAAGGTCATCATAATCATCGTCAGCAAAGATTCATTTCAGCTAGGTCATCATAATCATCATCATCAGGGATTAATTTCAGTTGGGTCATCATTATCATCATCATCATCAGGGATTCATTTCAGTCAGGTTATCATAGGCTTCATCAAGGATTCATTACAGCGCTTGTGAGAAGGATAACATTGTTGGAAGGACATACATTTTTTGCCTATGACCAAATCACCCATAATGCACTTGATTCTGTTGGGCCTTGCTAGTTAAGCTGATTTGGGCCTAGAGAGTACCTTAGATGGGTGGCCACCTTGTCCAAAAAAAGAGCATAACTAGGCAGTGAGAAACAGAGGGCATTGTGGCAAAATCCACCGTGATTCTGTATTCCCTGCAACCTTCACCAATCTGACCAATGTGGTGAGGCATGGGCAGGTAACCCTCATGGCCTGCGTGGTGTGGAGAGGCCCTCATCCAGCACTAGATTGCCATGTGGGATGTGTATATGTAGATACATTCATACCTATCCTATTGATTTTTCCACAACAACTTTTATTTGAATACACACTACTTGTTAAAAAAAATGTTTAAGTGAAACGGAAAGCCACTCTCTGACCAACAACAACCACAAACGTGCACTACTCACTATGCCGTATCGATTCCCCTTGCTTAACTTTGTGCTGGAACCATCGAGAACGCAGTTCCGAAAATTATTTTGGCTATCCTACATCCATCCATCCATCCATCTCGCCTAGATTTTTTTACGACAACCGTGAGCCACCACCATTTAATTTGTATAATCCTGTTCATAGAGTTATAGGAATGTAGTAAATAATGATTATGGATAGTACTTTGTGCTCTAGTGGTAGTGCTTTCCACCAACAAAACCTGCTCCAAGCTGGCCTAGCCGCGTTGCGGAAAATATCGAGTGAGATGTTAACCTATTTACTAAACTAAAATTAAACCTATTTACCAGGTAAGGTCGACTGAGCATTATAGCTCTTTTCAGTAGTGACCTCGCCACAAATGATAACTCAACGAAGTGGCTTATCACATGGAAATATTCAGCAGCCAAATACTCTAACTGCACTTTCTAAATGTGGAGGGAAAAACCGAATGCCCCGGAGAAAAATTATACGTGACCACGAGGAGAAAATATATTGGCATCAGGGTCAGGATCGAACGCCTGCAACTCCTGCATACCAGGCGAGGTAGTTAACATCTCGCCTAAACCACAGCGAGAACAAGCGCATCCCAAGCAAAACAAACACTCTCACAGTCACTTAGCCTCACCGGCATTAGCAACAAGCTAAGGGCTGCAGAGCTTCAACAGCGATGTGTAGAAGAAGGTCAGGCGTATTACTGCGATACCACGTGAACTTTACAAAGGAATGAATGTCAGATGGAGCACCCTCATCTCGCATGAATTACCATTCAAATATACAGGAAGTTTTAAAATAATGGACCCAATTTTTAAGCAGTATACTTAACGATGGCACATGTTACAATTACACGAAAAGTTACAAACGGTTTAATGAGTTCTCAAGTTTTACTAACCATTTGAAAAATGCTCTATGTGTCCTCCACCTGCTGTACGGACAACATCGAGACGATAGTTGAGTTCGTCCCAAACGCCTCTCTTCTCACGTTTTCCTCTGAGGTGTGTGGTCGCCCTGTTCTCTTCCCCTTATATAAACAGCCTGTTTCCTCAAATTGTCGGTACCAACGACGAATGCTCTTTGACATTGGATGATCAATGCCAAAACTCCGTTGAAACGCATGCTGCACCGTAATTACGGATTCAGTCTTGCTGAGCTGCAGAACGCAAAACGCCTTGTGTTGCGGGGTTGCCATCTTGCGAATGACTGAGGCTAGGGGCTGTTTGTGCGCTGGGAGAGGCATCTAGCAGTAATCATTTGAAACGTTATTCCCTGCCCTTTCAAGTGTTAAGAGTTTCATTCATGGGCGGTTCGTGGTTGCAGAGATATAGCGATTTCAAATCGGGTCCATCTTTTTAAAACACCCTGTATATCTCTCCCCCGCGCATGGTCCCCCCTTCTATAAGAGTCTGAACTTCTCTGCTCATCCTTGCCTTTCCCTCCCCGAGACACCCAACCCATCCGAAATATGTACGCGTGTTTAATTTGATCGTAGCCTTCAGTAAAATGTGCTGAGCAAAGTCTGAACGCAAGCGCATTCTTGCGCCGAAATGTGCGGCTTTTTACGAGTGATTAACATATAAATATGTAAAGAGTTACAAGACAATACCATTAACAAGACGGCAAGCATTCTACCGACGTTACCGTCAAACGCCGCTCCGCGTGAGAGTGCGCGGGATGCCGCACGCATTTCGCCGGCGTGACCTATTTAAGAAAAGGTGTTGGACTAATTGTGCTCAGCACGCCCGGTCGCGAGCCTAGTTGTCAAAAAAATAAACACGGCCGCTATTTGCAAAGCTCTATCAACCGAATCAATCCTTAAACCTGTGATTAAAGTAGGGTGAGAAGCAATTACAGTATCTTTGCATTATTTCCTTAGCTAGGGACATTGGTGTCATTGCTGTTGTTGTTAGTGACATGAGTTAAAATTTCTGGACCAGTAGACAGGTGACCTTTATGGTCAGTTGGAGGCCCACTAAAAAAGCAGGGCACTCTGTCAAAGTGAAATCTAATTTGAGATTTTGCCGATGACACGCAAAAAAAAAACCTTCCATCTTGCGAATAGTGCCAAAGGGTCTTCAACATTTTTACTTCATGCGCTTTGTTTATACCCAACAAGAAAAAAATTACCAGGTGGGCAAGAGATTCCGTGCAGTGGCTCTGCACAAACACGTTCAGCGGTGAGCGAGTTGACCGCGCGTGTAGACTGCGGGTTTAGCGATGTCAGAAATGTCAAACTCAAATATGCTACTTAACATCCCTGCAGCTAAATAAAACAACAGGTTTTCACAAATCGTTTTTTTCTTTCCCCACACTGTAAATATGGTCACACATTTTGGGGACAAATGCTGCTTTACGCAATGCGCTGTCCATCATCGTCATCGTCAGCCATGATCAAGCCACTGCTGGATGAAGGCCACCCTGAAACGTTCTCATCTCTCACGGTCCTCATGCCTGCGCTGTTGAGATCCGAGGTTCAAATTCAGGTTTGAGAGCCACTCATGATTTTAAGCGGGTTCTCAAGTGCCATGTATTGATGGTCTCAGTAGAGTCACCAACGACTGCACGCATGAGTTGAGTATTTGGCTGATATGGATTTCCACGCGAAAAGCCACTTCTCATTGAGCAATCATTTGTGGCCAGGTCACTTCTGATAAAAGAGCTATATAGCTCAATGGGCCTTACCTGGTAAAAAAAAGAGATTTCGTTTGAAAAAATCTTAGTATTAAACTCCATTCGTAATTTATTTTACTTATTAAAGCTACCCAGTATAAAACAAACGTTTGACTTCCACGAAACAAACAACTCTGTAGAGGGAATATGAGCAACACATTGTGACACAAAATGTCAGCATTATCAGTGTGATTATTTTTGTGTGTGTTCGATGTTCTAATACGGTAATTACTGCACAAGTCGACAATAAAATCGTGTAATTGCTCCTCTAGGCGATGTGGAAATGTATTTTAAGCTTCCCACAGTTACAACTTGAATGGGGATGTCACATTAGCCTCCGCGCGTGTGTGTGTGCGTGTAGCTGCACGCAGTCCACGGGGCTGCACGCCACTCGTCACGGCCCGGTGCGAGATGTGGCGACGGAGCGGACAAACGCGTGCCGTTACGCAACGTGCGCTGCGACGACCTCCCAAGAGACACGACAAACTTGCGCTACACAGGCACAGCCAGCCGGCTCCGGTGGGGGGGGGGGGGACTAATACCAGAACGACGAGACATTGTAAAACACCTCCTTTGTTCCCCTGAATATTGGTACCCACAGGGATAATGGATTGTTGTTCTAACCAGCAAGCATGGTTAGATTGATGATTAAGGTTCGCGTTGGGTTAGGTTACGGTTTTGATTCGGTAAGTTGGAGGGTTAGGTAGGCTAGTGGTATGGTAAGAGATACCATTAGGTTATTGTGAGGTTAAGGTTAAGATTAGGTTAGGATTAAGATTAGTTTACAGTTGGTTTTGGGTTAAGTGCCATGTCAGGTTTGGTTCATTTAACGTGAATGTATGTTTCACATATAGCTTTGGAAATGTGGTACCTAAAATAGCATATGTTTTGTTGAATAGGCATGTATATAGGCTTACATTCAAAACCTGAGTAGCCAAGTGGACTTTAACAGACCGCACTGTTGAAGAATGTGTAATAGACCAAAGTCCATGTTTCTTTAATTGGGCAATGATATAAGGTTTTGGGAAAACGAGACGGTGGGAGAGAATGACAGTGTCGAGTAATGTGAGAAGACAGAGGAAAGTAGGGGGGTGCCATAGTGGCGAGATGTCAACTAGCTCGCCCGGTATACAAGGAGGTCGTGGGTTCGATCTTGACCCTGACACCTGTATATTTGGAGTTCACGTGTTCGCTCCCCGTGGTCACGTGGAATTTCCCTCCGGGTCCTCCATTTTTATCTCCCCACATTTTCAATCGGCACGTGTTTAGCATATTTGGCTACTAGAAATGCCCACGTGATAAGCCACTTCGTCCAGCTACCATCACGTGAGGCCAGGTCGCTTCTGAAAAAAAGCTGTGTAGTTCAGTGGGCCTTACCTGTTAAAAAAATATATATTTTAGTTTAGTGTTGTGACCTGCAATGTGGTGGTTGAACCCAGGGTGGATGAGATGAAATGGATCAGTTTAATCTCATCGATGCTTTTAGAAGAAATCAATGAGGGAAATTCATAGGAATAGTAGCCATAGTAGTAGCGATTTAAGAGTGATGAGGAGACTGACCACCAGTAAGTCAGTGACTGGAGTCAATCACTGAGTGCTGGATCATAAATCAATGCTGACTGGTGTCAATATCTATCCCTCCACGTAAAACAACACAGGTATGTATGAGACTTCCCGTCAATTACAAGCCCTTCTCGTGGTATGTATGAGACTTCCCGTCAATTACAAGAACTTCTCGTGGGAGTGCATGATTTCAACAGCATTGGCTCAATGCAATCAAACTCTGGACCGGTTTCGACATACAATGTCCCATCAACAGATTCAGACTTGCTTGAACTAATGCTGCAGAACTTTCCAGATATTTTAGGCAAGGGCCCTCTCTTTAATATATGGATCCTTTTTTATGCAACGTCATAAAAATGCATACCGCTAAGTATTAATTAGCGTAGTTGTGGAGGACGCAAGCAACAAAATAAATAAGCGAACACCATATCCCCTTCATATATTTGAACACGGGGAGCACAAACAAACATACTTTCATTTTGTTGACGTAGAGGGACAGATATATAAAGTAGTTAACGAGGTAGAGTCTGCTTATTTATCTTCTCCACAACGACGCTCATCATAATTCCGTGCTATGTATTCAGGTATAATGGTTGATGCAGTGTACCAGGTGGGACAATATTTACCAGGACACCCTCCAGCTACGGGCTGAGCCCCAGCTGAAATTAATCCATGGTTCCACCTCAGCATCTACCCCCTGCCTCCCCTCACACCACACCTCACCTTCTATAAAATTATTTTTATTTACCAGGTAAGGCCCACTGAGCTACATAGCTCTTTTTCAGAAGCGACCAGGCCACAAATGATAGCAGAACGAAGTAGCTTATCACGTGGAAATGTACAGCAGCCAAATTCTCTAAAGGTATGTTGATTCTAAATGTAAAAAGGAAAAACCGGAGACCCGGATAAAAATCCACGCGACCACGGGAAAAACATGCAAACTCCAAATACAGTAGTTCCTCGGTTAACAGTGACATCGGTTAACGATTTTTCGGTTAACGTTCCGCCTCCAATAGGACCCCCATTGTTTTGACTAACGTTAACATTTTTATTAACGGTACATTTATGTTATGCAATTTCGGCCAATCCGAGTACTCGTAAGTGAGGCTGAGCCATGCCCTCAGCCAATCAGGGACGCCCATTTATGAGCCGTTAAGACCTCAACTGGCTTTGTTTACATTACGTTTTCTGTTTTGGATTAATGCTTTTAAAATGGAATTCCTATATTCTATTAACAGTTATTTCGATTAACAGTAGTTTTTTTTTTGTGGAACGGATAAAAAAACGTTAACCGAGGGACTACTGTATACAGCCATCAGGGTCGGGATCGAACCCCACGACCTCTATGTACACCAGGCGAGGTAGTTAATATCTCGCCACCACGGCACCCCTTGACAAAGCGCAGCAGTAGCGGGCGAAGTCGCTCACCTCCTGAGGATGCCGCCCAGGAGGGACGCGTTGAGACATTCTGGGGGAGACAGACGCCGCTTCACCTCTGCGATGGTCACCTTGTACTTGGACGTCGAGCTGAGGAGGGACAGCCGGCCGGGCACCGAGCAGAAGAGGTCAGTGGGGTTGACCGCTGCGGATCCACCTGCAAACCGCATGGGGAGGCACGGCGCACGATTAGGCGCTGCAAAAGCTGGGCCCGCACACGCGCCTCCTTCACGCATCTGACCCTCCACGTTAATGCACGTCCCATCGGCCACACGCACACACACACACCACTGCAGCATTGGTTCAACAGAAGCAAACTCTGGACCGGTTTTGGGCTTTCCGAAACTTTGCACTCCTATCGTTTTTGTTTGTTTGTTGTCGTACCTTTATGACCTGTCCCCCTTACTGGACGTGTGGGGGGGGGGGGAAGAGGTTCACAACTCGTCAGATTTCTTCAGGATAAATAAAGATTTTGACGATTCTGGTCAGTGTCTCATCAGCGGTGTAAGAGGCTTGCTGGTGAACTACCAAATGTTTAGAGACAAAGACACGAGTCCTAGTTCAACGCAAACAGGCTCAAATTTAGACTTAAAACTTTCGTGACTGCAAGAATTCATATTCTTGGTTCTTTCAGTAAAGTCACGTAGATAGAAAACAAAAATCTAAATTAAAAGCAAAAAACACCACGACGTTTCGATCGCAACACAAGCGGTCTTCTTCAGGTGGAGAGAAAAGAGGCTCACTCGATATTCGCTGAACGTCTAAAACGGTACATTTGGCTGCCACTCCGGCGGTAAGTTTGACTACAGACCATCACTCTTTCCCTTCTAGCGAATGATTTGTCAATATGACGTCCCTAACTTTTGTTTGTTCTCTAAACCACGTGTCAAATGCGTTAAGCCACTCATTTAAAAAGCCTACACTACCAGGTAATTAATTACACGTGTAATATATATAGATCATGCTTGGGTAGGAAACCACGGTATATAACAGGTGCTATAATAGGTTACTGCAGTGGGCTTTGTTTTACAGCAGAGGAGAGCGCAGCAAAAGCCATTGTTGTACTGTATACTGTACTGTACTTGTATGCACCCACAGCTATGCTCCCCATCTTCATAAACCCGCACTGACCAGCCTGGTGAAGTATGGTCAAACAAACCCCCACGATTGCCACGTGGGGAGGTGTTCAGTCAGCATGGGGATGGCAATGGGACGTCAACTATTAGTATTAATCCTATTATTGAAAAGTGAGATCAAAATTAACACTGGACTAGAGCAGTGTCCTTCATTGCAAGGCCCGCGGGCCACTGGCGGCCCCTGCTGGCATTCCGTGCGGCCCCTGATGTCCAGCCCCCGTCAATACACGGCACGTAAAAACACTCCACCCATCATCATCATCGTCGTCGTGCTGCTGTCAAACCCCACAATGGTTTAAAAGTCTGTGGCGGCCCTCGCACCGATGCTATCTTATCGGTGAAAGTGCCCCCTCTGAAAATTAGTGAAGAACACTGGACTAGAGAATGTGGCAATTGTTAGAACGATCTTATCGGCTCCCGAAATGTAAAGCGAGGGTAAGAAACGTCGCTGGAAGGGATGAACGATGGCCGATTGATCAAGCAGGATGGCGGAATGGCAGCCGAGGAACGGAACATTGTCCAAGAGTACGTTCAAGGACATGGAGCGAAATCGGCTGTTGTGCAGGAGCTAGAGGTGGGTGTTTTACTTTGCAGGATCGTGAGAGGAGGCTATCGCGCTCGGAGTCGGGAGAAACTCATCCAGCAGTGGATTGACAAAGGCCCATAAAATAAGTATTAATAACGTTCTTTAAGGGAAGATGCACTGAGTACTCTAAGGTTAAACTCTTTTTTGTGATACTGTGTTGGCAGTGGTGAATAGGCACGCTTATCAAAATATTGACCATGCATCAATAACCCTTACCTAAGAATTTAAACATATAAATAGGCAACGTGTCTGCCAATGGGCCCTTCTTCATAGCACGACTGGCATGAGGCTACAAAGAACCACCCGTAACAGACTATAGGGGCAAGTGCTGTAAGAGAGCAGCACCTATGAAGGCCGGCGCAGCACCGCCACGGCAAACGAGGAGGGCGGGTGGGTGGCCAGTACCACGCCCGGCCGCCTTTGCCCTCCCCAGTAGCGATGCTTACACACCACACCGGGCACTCATTTTGCGGCCGAGTTGTCCTAGGAGAGGGCCCAGGACCGGTTTAGCTCACAGGGCATTTCTAAAGAAACTCTTCTAAATTGTTCTGTTCCGTGGCATAGCGCGCCTACCACTGTGCCATCGCTCCCCCCCACCACCGCCCCCCACCGCGAGGTAAGATTTGACCCGCGGTGAACCGCACGGAGTGGGAGAGCGCCCAGCCACCTGGTTCTGACGCGTCACTCGCACGGGGAAGGGATTCATCCGCCGCACTCGTTGATGGAGTGCACACGGGGGGGGGGGGGGGGGGTCGCGCGGTTCGTCTGCCAAGTGGCTCGCGCGCTCGGTTGTAACCCTAATGAGCGAGGTTGAGGGCCTTTAGAGACAATGAGCATGGAGAAAGCCTCCGGAGCGCTCTGATGCTAAGCCCAAGCGATATCGGTCAGCTGTGCCCCTAACATAGTGCAGATATATATTATAGAACCAACTAGTATCGCCTTTGATTCCTCTAACATTGTTATCGGGATCTTCAATCAAACAGGTTCGATATTTCCATATCATTACGAGGCATAATCAATCCACTGCTGGATGAAGGCCTCCCCCCAAGTCGTTGCATCTCTCAACAAACCACCTCTAACACTTGTGCACACCGACCATTATTCCTGAGTGGTGTGTTCTGCCTATAAATCCACTTCTTTTGTACAATTCGAAGCATGTATTTAACCTGCATATTTACGTGTTGGCTTCATTGCTTTGTTGAACTCTACTATGCTTCAACGTATATGCTCCCCACCTTAATTTCCCCCCACTGACCAATGTGGTGAAGTATGGTCGAATACTCCGTAAGACCCGCATGGAGTCGGGGGGGAGGCGTTTTATTCAGCACTGGATGAACAAAGCGTTGACTGAGCATATACGACTAACACTATATTTGGTATGTTAATGACTGAATTTACTGAAGTATAATATAAATGCAGCGTGAGCAAAAAATATGCGTGTAATCTATATATATAAAATCGTTCATGTCTGTCTGTCTGTGTGTGTGTGTGTGTGGACTTTGGCCCATACGCACTTTCATTGGACGGCGGTTGCCCCTGGCAACGGCTAGCCACGCCTTCGCCGCTTTCATTGGACCTGGCAACGGCTAGCCACGCCTTCGCCAAGGGCTGCAGTTTCATTGGACGGCGGTTGCCCCTGCCAACGGCTAGCCACGCCTTCGCCACTTTCATAAGCTCCGTATTTAATTAAATAATAGCCATTACACAGTATTGTTGGAGCGCTAGGGGGGGGGGAAGAAACGCCACCCGTACCCTGCCTCTTCCAAGCCGACAATTTTAGGCGAGGCCGCAGGCTTTGCACGCTACTAGGCCTCGACACCCACAACGCCACTCTGAGGTAAATTCATCAAAGTTTTTCCTACTCTTCACTATACCCCCACCACAATGTGTGCTATTAATATTACTTTTAAACCCAACGCGCCAACAATCGATTACTTTAATGTTCACTGTACAAATACTCATTAAGCTGGGTGAGCGTACTGCCAGTCTATCATGTACACTGTAGCCTGCTTATTAAGCTCGGTGAGCGTACTGCCACTCTATCATGTACACTCTAGCCTGCTTATGAAGCTGAGTGCGTGTACTGGCAGTCTATAATGTGGACTCTTGCCTGGTTATTATAATCGATTCTTTATATGTTCTTTGTACAAACAGTCATTAAGCTGCTTGAGCGACCCCAGTTCGATTCCAACTCACGCCCACCACCGCTGACGATTATTTGAAACGGACCTGGCCCTCCCCTAGGTCCACTCAGCCTCAAAAGCGTAACTGCTGTCGTGTGTGAACATCGTCACTGGGGAGACAAAGGCGGCGGGGCATCGTGGATCCAAGTCCCGGGCGAAGCCGGGTCATGTGTATGTGTGTTTGTGTTTATGTGTATGTCTGTGTGTCTCTATGTATGTGTGTATGTATGTGTATGTATGTGTTTGTGTGTATGTGTGTCTGTATGTATGTGGGTTTTTTTTATGTCTTTATGTGTATGTCTGCGTGTCTCTATGTATGTGTGTATGTACGTGTGTGCATGTGTTTGTGTGTATGTATGTGTGTGTCTATGTATGTGTGTGTCTATGTATGTGTGTGTATGTGTGTGTATGTATGTGTGTTATGTGTCTGTCTGTGTCTGCATGTATGTGTGTGTGTATTGTGTATGTGTTTGTGTGCATGTATGTGTGTGTTTGTGTGTATGTGTATGTCTGTGTGTATGTGTTTGTGTGTATGTGTGTGTATGTGTGTGTATGTATGTGTGTGTATGTGTTTGTATGTGTTTGTGTGTTTACGCTCGCATTACACAAATGTGTTGCTGGTCTAAGGCGTTCCTCGCACAGCATTGCCACTTTATTATTTCAGTCGTTTACTGCCTTACGCACCCTGAAAGTCGTGTGTGTCTGCAGCAAGCGCGTGTATGTGTACCTATGGACGCGCGCGCGTGTGTTGTGTAGGGGGAACGGTAGTGTAGTGCTTAGCGTGCTGTCTGTGTCTGTGTGTGTGTGTGTGTGTCTGTCTGTGTCTGTCTGTGTGTGTCTGCGTGTGTCTGTGTGTGTGTCTGTGTGTGTGCGTGTGTGGTGTGTGGGGAGCGGTAGTGTAGTGCTTAGCGTGCTGTCTGTGTGTCTGTGTGTGTGTGTGTCTGTCTGTGTCTGTCTGTGTGTGTCTGCGTGTGTCTGTGTGTGTGTCTGTGCGTGTGTGGTGTGTGAGGAGCGGTGGGTGTAGTGCTTAACGCTACGCTGCGCTACCAACCCGGCGAACCCAGTTCCATTCCCGCTCACGGCCACCACCGGTGACGATTATTTGAACCTCCCCTAGGTCCACTCAGCCTCAAACGAGTAACTGGTGTGGCGTATTAACATCGGCACTTGGGAGACAAAGGCGGCTGGGCGTGGTAGATCCAAGTCCCGGGCGAAGCCGGGTCATGTGTATGTGTTTATGTGTATGTCTGTG